AATTTTTACCGTCCTTACTTTAGTTTTTTTGATAATAGCAGGTCCAAATATTTCCGATTTTCGCCATTTTTTTTTATTTGCTTAACAACAAGTTTATATACCAAGCAGTGAAAGAATTATGTAAAAATCATGACTGAGTCCAAAGTTATAGGCATTTAAATTTAAAAAATTAAAAAAAGGCGATTTTTTGTCATTTTTTTGGGAAAAAAGTATCTTTTTCTTTTTAAGTTATCTAAAAAGTTTCTAAGAAGATGTATATAGAATTTATACTTTTTGGAAAGCTGACTTTACATAAAATACGATAAATGAAACAAAACCTAAAAATTTTTGATACCGAGGGGACCAGGTCCATCCAAAAAAACCCTATTTTTTATGGAAAATTAAATTTTGAGCAAAAATTCTCAAATCGCATAGTCGATATCAAATTATAGTGACCTGTTTTATATGACCCAATAAGTTCTTAATCATTTTGTAACGGGTTTCGATAACCCCGCCCCTGGTATGGATATAATAGGCAAAAAACCAAAAAATCCCATTTTTGGGATTTTTTAAAACTTTTTTGGGAATTCCGGGATTTCTAGTAAGAAAATTCGAAATTTTTATTTAATTTTGGATTTTGAGTAAAAAAATCTACCTAAATGTAAAATTTCATCAAAAAATATTCATAAATAAAATTTTTATTGCAATTTGAAAAATTTGTATCTTCGCAAAAACTGAATAAAAAACATTTTTTAATTTTTTTTTAAAAAAGTATTCCGCGAATTTTTTAATTTTCAAAAATTATATACAGTTTTGAAAAATAGACAAAATTACCTTTCCATTGATATATAACATGCCTACCTAATGTTTTTTAAGTGACAAATTAATTAGGGAAAACTCAACATCTTTTAGAAAATTTGCCTAGCACTATTATTTTCATCCATAAGGTTAACTCTTAAATTTGTTACATATATGGATGAAAATAATAGTGCTAGGTAAATTTTCTAAAAGATGTTGAGTTTTCCCTAATTAATTTGTCACTTAAAAAACATTAGGTAGGCATGTTATATATCAATGGAAAGGTAATTTTGTCTATTTTTCAAAACTGTATATAATTTTTGAAAATTAAAAAATTCGCGGAATACTTTTTTAAAAAAAAATTAAAAAATGTTTTTTATTCAGTTTTTGCGAAGATACAAATTTTTCAAATTGCAATAAAAATTTTATTTATGAATATTTTTTGATGAAATTTTACATTTAGGTAGATTTTTTTACTCAAAATCCAAAATTAAATAAAAATTTCGAATTTTCTTACTAGAAATCCCGGAATTCCCAAAAAAGTTTTAAAAAATCCCAAAAATGGGATTTTTTGGTTTTTTGCCTATTATATCCATACCAGGGGCGGGGTTATCGAAACCCGTTACAAAATGATTAAGAACTTATTGGGTCATATAAAACAGGTCACTATAATTTGATATCGACTATGCGATTTGAGAATTTTTGCTCAAAATTTAATTTTCCATAAAAAATAGGGTTTTTTTGGATGGACCTGGTCCCCTCGGTATCAAAAATTTTTAGGTTTTGTTTCATTTATCGTATTTTATGTAAAGTCAGCTTTCCAAAAAGTATAAATTCTATATACATCTTCTTAGAAACTTTTTAGATAACTTAAAAAGAAAAAGATACTTTTTTCCCAAAAAAATGACAAAAAATCGCCTTTTTTTAATTTTTTAAATTTAAATGCCTATAACTTTGGACTCAGTCATGCTTTTTACATAATTCTTTCACTGCTTGGTATATAAACTTGTTGTTAAGCAAATAAAAAAAAATGGCGAAAATCGGAAATATTTGGACCTGCTATTATCAAAAAAACTAAAGTAAGGACGGTAAAAATTTTAAAATTTTAATATTCAAATGCGAATATCTCCTAAACTATAAGAGATAATTTACTGCTACGACGACATTTTTTATAGTGCTCGATGAGGAGATTCTATATACGAAATTTTTTTTAAATCGGAACTCAAATGAAGAAATAGGTCGTTTTAAAAATTTAACATAGCCGAGGTGTCCTAATTTGAGGACCCCCCGCCGGGCCCCTGGTTGGCCTATAAGGTCCAAATTCAAAACCTAAACTCGACAACACCTCCTCTTTGTGCACACCAAATTTCATTAAAATCGGATTAACCGTTTAGAAGTTACCGAATTATTTCCCTCTTTTTTTTTTCCTATACCACTGTGCAATGGTATTAAATGTTTTGTATTAATTGTGTTTATTGTTAATATTTATTTATAAAACATGTGCTTGTACTACACATAAGTTTTCTATTAATAAATTATTACATTCGTGTGTAGTATTATTAAAATTAATAGCATTTTTATGCAAAATTAAAAAATGTTTAATAAATAATTGATTGAAATAATTGTTCGCACATTAGAATTAAATTTGTAAATGACATAAATAGAACCTGCTGCATTGTCTGAAGTAATTGCATGTTTTATTTTATTTTATTTATTTTTGCAGGAGGAAACACACCTCAATTTGAATATTTATTAGCTAATTAAATGATATTTATATGTGTATTCTGAACTTTTAAAGAATTATTATAATTAATTGTTTTTACTAGAGTTAATTAATTATTATTATTAAATTAATGTGGCGTTATGAGAGAATTTTATTATGAAATGGTGTTTTTGTATCTAGTTTTGTAGAGCTTTAGGTTCATAATTAATGATTAAAATTGTAATTAATTTCAATTCATTGTTAAAGTTTTACGTTTCAAAACTTTTTGTTTAAATCGTGCACTTGCACTAATACGATTAAATACACATTTTATAGAAAAGTTTCTATAAAAAGAGAATTTATCGAAAATTTTGTATAAAAAGAGTATTTATCGAAAATTTTGTATAAAAAGAAGAAATTTTCCATAAAAAAATTATCACAAATTTTTTATAAAAAGAAAATTTATCAAAAAACTTATATTTCTCTCTTTAAATAAAGAATTTTATCGAAAATTTTCTATATAAAGAGATTTTATCGATAATAGACATAGAGAAGTTTTTACAGAAAGTTTTCTTCTAAAAAAAGTTTCTTTTAAAAGTTTTCTTTTAGAAAAGTGTCTCATGAAAGTTTTTGTCTGAAAAAGTTTGTTTAGAAAGTTTTCCTATAGAAAAGTTTCTTGAGAAAGTTTCTTATAGAAAAGTTTCTTTAAATAGTTTTCTTATAGAACAGTTATTTAGAAAGTTTTCTTATAGAACATTTTGTTTAAAAACTTTTTTTATAGAAAACTTCCTTTAGAAAGTTTTCTTAGTTCCTTTAGAAAGTTTCTTAGTTTTTTATAGAAAATTTTTTTTTTAAGTTTTATTCTAGAAACGTTTCTTTAGATAGTTTTCTTATAGAAAAGTTTCTTTACAAAAGTTTCCTTCTAGAAAAGTCTCTTTAGAAGGTTTTCTTCAAAGAAAGATTCTTTAGAAAGTTTTCTTATAAAAACGATTCTTGATAAAGTTTTATTATAGATAAGTTTCTTATATACTTATATATTAGATACGTTACTTTATAAAGTTTTCCTATAGAAAAGTTTCTTTAGAAAGTTTTCGTCCAGAAAAGTTTCTTTTAAAAGTTTTCTTCTAGAAAAGTTTCTTTAGAAAGTTTTCTTCCAGAAAAGTTTCATTGGAAAGTTTTCTTATAGAAAAGTTTCATTGGAAAGTTTTCTTATAGAAAAGTTTCATTGGAAAGTTTTCTTATAGAAAATGTTCTTATAGAAAGTTTGCTTATAGAAAAGTTCCTTTAGAAAGTTTTCTTACAGGAGCGTTTTTTATAGAAAAAATTCTTTAAAAAGTTTTATTCTAGAAAAGTTTCTTTAAATAGTTTTCTTATAGAAAAGTTTCTTTACAATCGTTTCCTTCTAGAAAAGTTTCTTTAGAAAGTTTTCTCCTAGAAAAGTTTCTTTACAAAGTTTTCTTCTAGAAAAGTTTCTTTACAAAGTTTTCTTATAGAAACGATTCTTGATAAAGTTTTCTTACAGATAAGTTTCTTGAGAAAGTATTCTTATAGAAAGTTTCTTATAGAAAAGTTTCTTTAGAAAGTTTTCTTATTAAAAGCTTTCTTTCGAAGGTTTGCTTTTAGAAAAGTTTCTTTTGAAAGTTCTTTAGAAAGTTTTCTTCCAGAAAAGTTTCTTTATAAAGTTTTCTTCAAGAAAAGTTTCTTTAGAAAGTTTTCTCCTAGAAAAGTTTCTTTAGAAAGTTTTCTTCTAGAAAAGCTTCTTTAAAAATTTTCTTATAGAAAAGTTTCTTTAAAAAGTTTTCTTCTAGAAAAGTTTCTTTAGAAAGTTTTTTTTATAGAAAAGTTCCTTTAGAAAGTTTTCTTATAGAAAAGTTTCTTTCATTAGAAAGTTTTTTTAGAGAAAAGTCACATTAGAAAGTTTATCTTCAAAGTTTCTTTAGAATGTTTTCTTCTAGAAAAGTTTCTTTAGAAAGTTATGTTCTAAAAAGTTTCTTTAGATAGTTTTTTTATAGAAAAGTTTCTTTAGAAATGTCTCCTTATAAAGTTTTCTTCAAGAAAAGTTTCTTTAGAAAGTTTTCTTTGAGAAAAGTTTCTTTAAAAAGTTTTCTTATAGAAAAGTTTCTTTAGGAAGTTTTCTGATAGAAAAGTTTCTTTAAAAAGTTTTCTTCTAGAAAAGCTTCTTTAGAAAGTTTCTTTAGAAAGTATTCTTATAGAAAAGTTTCTTTAAATAGTTTTCTTATAGAACAGTTTCATTAGAAAGTTTTCTTCTAGTTTCTTTAAAAAGTTTTCTTATAAAAGAGTTTCTTTAAAAAGTTTTCTTATAGAAAAGTTTCTCTAGAAAATATTCTTATAGAAAATTTTATATAGAAAGTTTTCTTCTAGAAAAGTTTCTTTAGAAAGATTTCTTTTAGAAAAGTTTCTTTAAATAGTTTTCTTATAGAAAAGTTTTTTTTAAATTTTCTTATAGAAAATATAGAATTAATGTAAAACTATAATTTTAAGTCTTTTTCATTAAACTTACCGATTGTTAAAGAGTTATTTTACTAAACATCAAACCTAAAAAGATAAAAAAAATTAAAATTAATAGCAATAACATTAAAAATTATATGTTTATTAAAATCAAATATAATTTATATATCAAAATAAATAATCATACAGTTTAAAATTTAACTTAACAAAATACATTTGTCTAAAATCATGCTGTCAACTTTTGTTGAACAATAATAATAATTTTCATTATTAACCGTTATATTTGTATTCTATGGTAAATTGTTTCCCTCTCTGGGAGGAATTATATCATTTGTAATAATGATATTTATTATTTTTTTGCAATTTTTGTTTAGAGTTTCTTTTTTAATACTTTTTTTGTTGTGGTAACAATATTATCAATTTCATTCAACAGCAGTATTGTTGCCGCTGAGCACCGTTTGCGCTGAGCTGCGGTGCTGATGAAATGAAAACAATGAACCAAAAAAAAGTATTTTCTCCTTTTTTTCTACACACACTTAAATAATACAAATTTTTTTTGCATGGAATCCAAAAAAAAAAATAAAAATTTATATAAAAATTGTAGAAAATCCTGTCTGACAGCATTTCAAATATAAAAGTGAAAAAAATAAGAAAAAAATGTAGAAAATAATATAAATAATATCAAATACAATTTTAAGCTAAATATGTAATGTGTATTGTGTGAGAAAATAGACTGGAGCTTAATTGTCAGGAAAAACAATAATCGTACAAAAATAACAAAGGATTAATTAACGTAAATAATTTTGCTCTTTTCGGAACTAAATCGCGTTTAGTTTTTTACTATGTATGTAAGTTCCAGTAAGGTATTTACCTAATCTTTGATCTTATGCTATTAAAATTAATATTGTCTAAGAAAATCTGTAGCAGTCTACTATATTTAGATATGTAATCATACAGAAAAATACAAATAAAACGAAATGAGCTTATATCCTACAAAATGTTTATTTCTAACAGAGATGGCATTTTCCATAAAAACATTTCTAGAAGAAAACTTTTCTATAAGAAAAGAAACTTTCCCAGAAGAAAGCTTTCTAAATTCCTTTTTTATATAATAAAATTATCTAAGGAAATTTCTCTAGAAGAAAACTTTCTATAAGAAAACATTATAAAGACACTTACTAAAGAAACTTCCCTATAAGAAACCTTTCTAAAGAAACTTTTCTATAAGTACATTTTCTAAAGAAACTTTTCTATACAAAAGCTTTATATATAAACTATTCTGTAAGTAAACTTTCTAAAGAAACTTTTGTGCAAGAAAGCTTTCTATAAGAAAACTTTCTAATGAAATTTTCCTATAAGAAGACATTCTGAAGAAAATTTTCTATAAGAAAACTTTCTAAATAAACTTTTCTATAAGAAAACTTTCTAAATAAACTTTTCTATAAGAAAACTTTTTAAATAAACTTTTCTATAAGAAAACATTGTAACGAAACTTTTCTATAAGAAAACTTTCTAAAGAAACTTTCTATAAGAAAACTTTTTAAAGCAACATTTCTATAACAAAACTTTCTAAAGAAACTTTTCTATAAGAAAATTACTACAAAAAATTTTTATAAGAAAACTTTCTAAAGAAACTTTTCAAGAAGAAAGTTTTCTATAAGAAAACATTCTAAAGATAAAAAACTTTCTGAAGAAACTTTTCTATAAGAAAATTACCAAAAAAATTTCTTAAGAAACATTTCTAATTATTTTCCTATAAGAAAGCTTTCTAAAGAAACTTTTCTATAAGAAAGCTTTCTAAAGAAACTTTTCTGTAAGAAAACTTTCTAAAGAAACTTTTCTATAAGAAAACTTTCTAAAGAAACCTTTCTAAAGAAACTTTTCTAAAAGAAAACTTTCTAAATAAACTATTCTATAAGAATACTTTCTAAAGAATCTTTTCTATAAGAACACTATTTTTCTATAAGAAAACTTTCTAAAGAAACTTTTTTATAAGAAAACTTTCTAAAGAAACTTTTCTATAAGAAAACTTTCTAAAGAAACTTTTCTATAAGAAAACTTTCTAAAGATAAAAAACTTTCTGAAAAAACTTTTCTGTAGAAACATTGTTGTAGAAACTTTTCTATAAGAAAACTTTCTAAAGAAACTTTTCTATAAGAAAACTTTATAAAGAAACTTTTATAAAAGAAAACTTTCTAAAGAATCTTTTCTATAAGAAAACTTTTTAAAGAAACTTTCAATAAGAAAACTAAAGAAAATTTTTCTATAAGAAAACTTTCTAAAGAAATTTTTCTAGAAGAAAATTTTCTACAAGAAAACTTTCTAAAGATAAAAAACTTTCTGAAGAAACTGTTCTGTAATAAAACTTTCTAAATAACCCTTTCTATAAGAAAAGTTGTTAAAGAAAATTTTCTATAAGAAAACTTTCCCAAGAATATTTTCTATTAAACTTTCTCAAGAAATTTTTCTAGAATAAAAGTTTTTAAAGAAACTTTTCTAGGAGAAACTAGAAACTTTCTAAAGAAACTTTTCTATAAGAAAACTTTCTAAAAAAAACTTTTCTATAAGAAAACTTTCTAAAAAAACTTTTCTATAAGAAAGCTTTCTAAAGAAACTTTTCTATAAGAAACTTTCCTAAAGAAACTTTTCTACAAGAAAACATTCTAAAGAAACTTTTCTATAAATAAACTTTCTAAAGAAACTTTTCTACAGGAAAACTTTCTAAAGAAAATTTTGTAGAAGAAAACTTTCTAAAAAAAACTTTTTCTAATAGAAAACTTTTTAAAGAAATTTTTTAAAGAAACTTTTCTATAAAAAACTTTCTAAAGAAACTTTTCCCAAAAACTTTCAAAGAAACTTTTTTAAAAGAAAACTTTCTAGAACAAACCTAAAGAATCTTTTCCATAAGAAATCTTTCAGAAGAAACATTTCTATAAGAAAACTTTCTAAAGAAACTTTTTTAGGTGAAAACATGTTAAAAAAACTGTTCTAATAGAAAACTTATCTTTATAAAGTTTTCTATTAGAACAGTTTTTTTCTTTTCTACAAGAAAACATTCTAAAGAAACTTTTCTATAAATAAACTTTCTAAAGAAACTTTTCTACAGGAAAACTTTCTAAAGAAAATTTTGTAGAAGAAAACTTTCTAAAAAAAACTTTTTCTAATAGAAAACTTTTTAAAGAAATTTTTTAAAGAAACTTTTCTATAAAAAACTTTCTAAAGAAACTTTTCCCTAAAACTTTCAAAGAAACTTTTTTAAAAGAAAACTTTCTAGAACAAACCTAAAGAATCTTTTCCATAAGAAATCTTTCAGAAGAAACATTTCTATAAGAAAACTTTCTAAAGAAACTTTTCTAAGTGAAAACATGTTAAAAAAACTGTTCTAATAGAAAACTTATCTTTATAAAGTTTTCTATTAGAACAGTTTTTTTCTTTTCTACAAGAAAACATTCTAAAGAAACTTTTCTATAAATAAACTTTCTAAAGAAAACTTTCTAAAAAAAAACTTTTTCTAATAGAAAACTTTTTAAAGAAATTTTTTAAAGAAACTTTTCTATAAAAAACTTTCTAAAGAAACTTTTCCCTAAAACTTTCAAAGAAACTTTTTTAAAAGAAAACTTTCTAGAACAAACCTAAAGAATCTTTTCCATAAGAAATCTTTCAGAAGAAACATTTCTATAAGAAAACTTTCTAAAGAAACTTTTCTAGGTGAAAACATGTTAAAAAAACTGTTCTAATAGAAAACTTTATAAAGATATTTTCCTAATAAAAAACTTTCTAAAGAAACTTTTCTATAAGAAAACTTTCTAAAGAAAAATTTCTATAAGAAAACTTTCTAAAGAAAAATTTCTATAGGAAAACTTTCTAAAGAAAATTTTCTGGAAGAAAACTATACTTTCGAAAGAAACTTTTCTATAAAAAACTTTCAGAGGAAACTTTTCTAGAAGAAAACTTTTTAAAGAAACTTTTCTTTAAGAAAGCTTCCTAAAGAAACTTTTCTATAAAAAAACTTAAAAAAAACTTATCTATAAGAAAACTTTCTAAAGAAATCTTTAAAGTAAAATTTTCTCTAGAATTTACCTTAAAAAGAGTATTTATCTCGTTGATATCATTTCGCCATCCCTGTTTAAAACGATTTTCGTTGAAACTACAATATGCAGTCAGCCAAAGAGTTTAAGAAGAGATGATGCCAACATTAGTGTCAGTTGTCTTCTGCCTTAAATACAAAAATGGGTAAAATCACTCCATCCCAAGGGGGGTGTAAAACAAAATATATTTTTTTTATCCATTTTTTTTTTTGCTCTTCTTTTTATGGTACATTGTAGTTGTTGTATTATGCACAAATGCATTATTTAGTTGCACTTTGTTGTCGTTGCAGTTGTTGTTTTTGTTACATGTTTTTATTGTGGATTTTTTTTATTCTGGTAATTTTACGTAAAGTTACATTTAATGCCCATAATAATAATATACGTTCAAAATTAAAAATGGGAAACAGTGGTTAAAGGAAAACATGCTGCTGCTGATGTGACAGATGTTTATAAAAACTTTCGCTTATTAAATATTTAATAAAAAGGAAAATTTTTAAAATGTTTTTTAAAAGAAGAAAACATTTATTGACGTTTTTCTTAAAAAATTATCGAACATTTTCTATAAAAAAAACAAAGAAAAGTTTCATCAGAAAGTTTTCTTTTAGAAAAGTTTCTTTAGAAAGTTTTCTTATAGAAAAGTTTCATTAGAAAGTTTTCTTATAGAAAAGTTTCTTTAGAAAGTTTTTCTCTAGAAAAGTTTCTTTAGAAAGTTTTCTTCAAGAAAAGTTTCTTTAGAAAGTTTTCTTCAAGAAAAGTTTCTTCAGAAAGTTTTCTTCTAGAAAAGTTTCTTCAGAAAGTTTTCTTCTAGAAAAGTTTCTTTAGAAAGTTTTCGTATAGAAAAGTTTATTCAGAAAGTTTTTGTATAGAAAAGTTTCTTTAGAAAGTTTTCGAATAGAAAAGTTTCTTTAGAAAGTTTTCGAATAGAAAAGTTTCTTTAGAAAGTTTTCGTATAGAAAGTTTTCTTAAAGTAGAATTTCTTTAGAAAGTTTTCTTCTAAAA